AAGGGGGGACCGCTTGAAACCCAAACTGACGCGGCGAGAGCCTGCAGATACAACCCTGGTCCACAATACACACTGACCAGGATTTGGACTCCAACAAAAAACAAAAGCGACGGCCGGTGCGGCCGGGGATTCCCGTAGGCTTGCCCCTATGCCAGCTCCGATCCCACGGATTGGAAGTGTCATAGAAGCCATACTATGAAGGAGCCATTTCGGCCTGACTCCCAGACTACCAATTCGTCACTCCACATAAACACAGATACTGGGCCGACTGAGAAGTCCAAGTTATCCGTCAGTTGGCAACCTTCCAGGCCAGGTCAGAAGGAGAAGGATGACACAAGTAGCTGGACAATCATGCACACGGACTGTATACACAGCAGGAGCGCAAAGGCATGCACCGGCAGGGAATCAGATGCCAGAGAACTGCCAGCGTATACCAGGCTGCGAGGGCGACGGCTTGCTGAAGCGTGGCATAACATGTGCACACGATCATTAGAGTCCGCAAGTGGGAGATGCAGCCCTGTATGAAGCCTAGACCATCACACTTCGAAGGCCCGGTAGCCATTCAGTTATCTACTGACAAACACTTTACAGTTCGACTCTCGTGCCCGGCGAATCCACCATGTGCTCCGCAGTGAGGCGAATCATGCACGGAGACTTGCGCGTGCATTAGTTTATAGCGAAAGTAGACGTGTGCAGCATCTACCACACTCTGTTCTCCTCCTCGCCTGGGCCTGTTTACGAGACATGGTCAAGTAGACCGGTAGCGAGGGAGGGCGCAGGTGGCTGGCACAGCTGGACTCGTACCCTGGTCTACAACAGACACCTGACCAGGATCTTGGCCAACAACAACAGTAGCACAAAAGATCAGAAATACGAGGATGACTTGGCAGCTATCCTCAAGACTTGCACACGCAGCGGGAGTGCAAGCGCATCTACCGTCAGGGAAGCAGGTGCCAAAGAACTGCCTGTGCGTACCAGGCTGTGAGAGCCATGGTTTGCTGATCATGGCATAGCAGACGTTTGCAGACTTTTAGGCCCATGGTATCTTCTTAATGATTTAGAGGAACGCATGCTTTTCCATAAACCTAAGATGTAGCTTGTACACTGAAAATCCTGAAAATGGATGCAACGGCAGTTTGGGCTCAAATTATTCGGTAATCGAAATTTTTAAGAGCCTAGATATACCCTTCTTCTGAGTCTACAATCTGGAGAAGTGATTTGTTGCCAATGGGTACAAGAAAGAACAATTTGTTAATGTTTTCTAATAAATATA